CCACCCTCCCTCCCTCTGCCTCTCTCTAAAATCAACGAAAACATATCCTTCAGTGAGTATTTAAAGCAAAAACAAACAAACAAGCAAAACCTCATCTGAGATATATGGCTGAAATGGAAGGAGGTCTAATAAATAATTCCTAAACCTATGAACTGGAGGCAGTCCTCATGAAGCTTTCAGAGGAAACCACCATTGGTTGGCCCCACTTCCCTTCCCCCCAATATTAGGCGTGCCTCTGACTGCGGGGCTGCCCTTGGTTTGCCTGCAGCATTTCAGGACTTGGGGTAGGCCTAGTGATTCAGTACTTGCCATCCCCCAGATGCTATTTTAACTATTTCTTGATTCCGACGTCTAGCTATGTAGCTCTCTCTAAATTCATTTTTATGATCAAAGATCATTAAAAATAACCGGAAACAGTGAAGCTAGGTATAAAAGAATGTTGGACGGCAAGAGGAATGCATGGGCTTTGGGGTTTTGATAAAGATGAGGGGAGCAGAAGCAAAGCGAGTCCTGAAACATTGCACATCTGTTGGAGCCCTGAGGTTGGGAATCCAGATGCAATTGCTGATGTGGTTGCTTTCAGCACGCAGTAAGGTGTGTTGGTTTTAATACAGTTATGAGGTAACAGAGGGAAGGGTTTAGATTGTAGACACTGACAGATTAAAGAAACGGAAAAGCTTATGTTAAGTGAATCATTAGTTGTCTGGAAAGCCTGGCTACATACAACATTTATGGGTTCATTTTCCTCATCAGAAAATGAGTATAACTTATCTTCTTGTGAAACAATAATAATAACAGCAAACAAGAAATAATGGAGTTATTCGACTGCAATTGCTTTTGTGTTTAGCACTTTGATGAAATAAAACTCTCTCCTTTACATTCCTCCACGCTAACATTTACTCTTTCTAATGCCCCAAAGCCGTGAGTTGCTGTGCAGGGTTGAATAGCAGTGTGTATGGTTAGAGAATCTCGAAACATCATTTGGGAGCCGTGGAACCCTTTGTAAATCACATAATTCTTTGAGTTTCACTCTTGTCCATTCAACGCAGGTGATCGTAGCTACTACTTCATAAGGTTATTGGAAGGAACACATTGCAATACGTATGACGAGCACTTAAGACACTCCCTGGGTGTGACAGAAACTCACCATTATCACCCCTAATTTTTACGTAACTATATATGTAGCAATGCCTATGTGGCAGAACCAGGCCTAAACCACTGTGCACACACACTAATCTACACAAATAACTCAAAGAGGGTGGATTTTCAGCTTCAAGTGCATGATCACCATTTTTTAAATTCACTCCACTTGATTTAAGAATTGTACAACATTGAGAAGAGGAACTAAACGCGTACACACACAAAGACACACTACCCTGCTATAAGGAAATGACCCATTTTCTATATGTATCACGTTATTTTCAATAAATGAAGATATATTCAGTTCAGCATGACCTACCAAGTATTATCACAGCGCACGTCAGGACAGCAATTACGATGTCTGTCCTGGATTCCATGAGGAGCATCTCTTTAGCACTGCAGATCTGGGGACTGCCACTGTCGTCGCAGTCACAGACGCGGATGGTAAGGGTGTTCGTGCTCGTAAGTGATGGGGTACCGTTGTCGGCAATTAAGATGGTGATGTAGAAGACGGGCTCTTCTTGAAGGCTAAAACCAGTTCTATTAGTCAAAATTACAGCCGTGTTATCTAAAACAAAAACACATATGCATGATTTTTTCAACAATACATAAGAAATTCATACCAGGCATATGTACTAGAGGCAATGGGAGAGAAATACCTAAATAATTTTTTTTTCAGGGCAACTTCTTATGCCTCAGTACTATGTTTTCTTTTGTTGTTGTTGTTTTTGGTATTTCCATCTCCCCAAAATATTTTCTGTAGCAATCAGACAAACTTTAGAAGGCAAACTATAAAAGGCAAAAAAAGGGAAGTCTTTTGAAATGTATGCCTCCTTCTGACTTTTCTCGAGTCATTCTTTTAAAACAATGTCTCCATCTTGCTCTTGAAGTCTATACAACCCTTTTGATTCTAGTTACTAGACAGATAGAAAAGGTGATATAATTTACATTTTTCCAACGTCTAGTTTATTTATGACCACAAACATTAAACCAAATCAATTACTTGTTGTCTCAATGTCTTTATTTTGCCTCAGTACATTATTTTGTGTTAATATAAACAAATCTGAGCTACATCTTATTTCTTATGTTCATATTTGCGTTTTTTATCCTAAGTTTATTTGTGTTCCCTGCACTGAGGAATCTGACAAGGACAGATTTATTTTATCCCAACAAAAGAGCCCCTGCACTGAAGGTTGACCTGTTGTCCGAAGGACAGCTACAGGTATTGGTTACAGATGCTTAATAATAAACCCAGTGGTGACTCATATCTCTGGGATATGAAGAGGAATTAAAACAGAAATCCATATGATGGTAAAAGTATTTTACTGGAGTTAAAGCAAAAAAAAAAAAAAAAAGAACA